TTTACACTCTTTAAAAACCTTAAAAGCGTCATTTAGGCCTGGACCTGATCATATTCCGACCTGTTTTCTTAAAAACTGCGCTGAGAACATCTGCGAGCCTTTAACAACTCTATTCAATTTGTCGCTTAAACATGGCGTTTTTCCGTCTGCCTGGAAGGAGTCTTTCATAATACCACTTCACAAAAACGGCAGCAGGTCGTCTATAGAAAACTATCGAGGCATAGCGAAACTCTCCGCTATCCCCAAATTATTCGAAGCAATTATTGTTAACCAGCTGACATATTCTATATCTTCTTCAATTACACAATCTCAACACGGGTTTTCAAAAGGAAAATCTACTATAACTAATTTATTGGAGTTTACAACTCATGTCTCAAACGGTTTTAGAGAAAATGCTCATACCGACGTAATTTACACCGATTTCAGTAAAGCTTTTGACAAAGTATGTCACTCGTTACTCATCCGTAAACTCGACCTAATCGGCTTTCAGCCCAGTCTTCTTCAATGGATCTCATCTTACCTCTCTGATAGAACACAAAGTGTTATTGTTAATAATTGTTCTTCCAACATCATTAAAGTTTCTTCAGGAGTTCCTCAGGGAAGCCACCTTGGTCCGATTCTGTTCCTGATATTCATTAATGATATTTCTTCTATAATAAAACATTCAAAAATTTTAATGTATGCCGATGATGTGAAACTTTTTAAAACATTGTCCTCTATCGAAGAAAGGTCTTTGTTACAAGCGGATCTGAACAACGTGGTTAGTTGGTGTAATACAAACTATATGCCACTAAACCTTCAAAAATGTAAAGTTATGTGTTTCTCTCGGAGGGCTGTTCAACCAGCTGTTTATTCAATATCAAATTATAATCTGGAGCAAGTATCCAATTTTGTCGATCTTGGTATCACAATGGATTCCAAACTGAATTTCAACCATCATATTAATGTTACAGTCAATAAAGCCAAAGGCGTTTTTGCATTTGTGAGGCGATGGTCAAAAGAGTTCAAAGATCCTTATGTTACAAAAGCTCTTTTTACCAGTTTAGTTAGACCTATACTAGAATACGGATCTATTGTTTGGAATCCCCGCTACCAAGTTCATTCAGAAAGGATTGAATCAATTCAAAAACAATTCTTGCTTTTTGCATTGCGTAATTTTAACTGGGATTGAGATTACAATCTCCCCCCTTACACAAGTCGTCTAAAGCTCATAAATTTGCCTACACTCGCAAGTCGTAGAGAAATGCTGGGTATAATATTTATCGTAAAATTAATGACAGGCTTGATTAATAGCCCGGCCCTCCTGGCTGAGGTAAATTTTAATGTTCCTTCTCGAATGTCAAGACACTTTCGACCTCTATTTTTAAAGCCATGCAAAACTAATTTTGAACTAAACGAATCATTCCGTGGTTTATGTCAAGATTTTAACTGTCATTCCAGCACGTTTGACGTATCGGACTCGATTTTTACTATAAAGAAAACTATTATTTCCACTCTCAATAATTGAAATACTATCTTTAGCATATCCAATCAGCTGATGAATTTGATTCTGTAGCTGAATAGTTTTAGATCTCGACACTTAACAAACTCCTGTTTCCACTACTCGGCACCAAAAAACTAAAAAAAAAAAGGTTCCGTACGTCATGCGGACTGCGCCCCTCGTGTCGGTTGGGCGGGAATGGAGGGTAAAAAGCCGTTGGGATTAATTAATTAATTAACACCTCCCATATGTTGATTGTAGTCATGCATAAGTCCAGGTTGTTCCACACTAACTTTTATTTTCTCAGTTTTTGACCAACGTTGTGGTACAGTTACAGGATCGACAGATTTGAAGTTTGAAATGACTGTAACTTCCGCATTATCTTGCCAGCGAGTAACGAATAACTTATTGTTTGTCTCGTAACAATAGTCGTATTTGTGCTTTTTGAGTTCTTTCCCAGTTTTAAGTATTTTTTCTGCACCTCTAATATGGTAGACAGATGAACAAAATTAATTTGAATTAAGAAGCACAAATGCAAATTGAAATTTCACCCTGACAGACGGCAACCTTGTGCATTTAATCAGCTGATATTGAAGAATTTTTTTTTCTGTAATCGCCAAGTGAAAATGGATAGAAGAAAAATTTTGTTATTGACAGCTATTCTGTTCGTAAAAAATCAAGTTTTATTTTGTGAAAAAATTCAGTTACTATTACTTAAATTAATAAATAATAGGGCGCAAATAAATTCTATTTTGAGCAGTCACGCGATCCTACGAGCCAGGATTGCAAATGCCCAGTCCGACGTACGGCGGATCTGGAAATTCGTAAGTAAAAATGTTCTTTTATAAAGATTTTAACCATTAGTTGTATCCCTAAAGGACCGCAGTAGCAGATTTTGGGAGCACGATGTCCGTGCAATGGACGACGCAAGATTCAGAGAAAACTTTCGTCTCGATAGGAGGGCTTTTCAAAAAGTGTGCGAAAAAGTACGAAACATGGAGAAAATTGATAGCAACCTGAGGCGTTGTATTCCACTCGAAAAGAGGGTGGCTATCGCACTTTTCTCATTGGGTTCTGCAGCAGAGTATAGAACCGTTTCTAGTTTATTTGGAGTTGGCCGAAGTACTGTTGGTGAAATTGTTCTGGATTTTTGCCACTCAGTTTGCGATAATTTTGCGGATTGCATTAATACATACCCCCCAAATCAACAAGAAATCAAAAGAATCGTAGACGGTTTCGCAGTCCTAGGGTTTCCGCAATGCTTTGGAGCTGTAGATGGATGTCACATTGAAGTGCAGCCAAGAAAGGAGGATGCCGTAGATTACCACAATTACAAAGGATGGTATTCCGTGGTTTTATTGGCAAGCTGTGATCACAGGTATGTAAATTTATGGCTGCACTGTATCGCATGCATATGTATATTTTTAAATTATTTGGACTTACAGGTCAAAATTTACGTATATTAACATTGGATCTACTGGAAGAAATAATGACTCTTACATATTTGAAAAAAGTTCATTAAAACAATTTCATGAAAGCGCAGACATTTTCGTACAAAATAGCGAGCTTATTGGCGGATTCAATATACCTGTGCTACTTATGGGCGATTCGGCCTTTCGGTTATCGCGCCACATGATGAAACCATATCCATATGTAGCTAACCAACCAGCTGCTGAAAAACTCTTTAACTATCGCCTGTCCAAATGTCGGCGTGTGATCGAAAATGCTTTCGGCCAGCTGAAGGCTCGTTTCCGAAAAATAGGGAGAGGCTTACAAGTAGCACCTAAAAATGTTAACGTTATAATACAGACCTGCTGTATTTTACACAATTTTTTAAAACTTGAGAACGATGAAGTTTCTTCCGTCTGGATGCAGGATGCAGCAGAATACGGATCAGCAAGGAATCAACCTAATCACACAACAAGAGTTGGTGAAAATGACCTAACAGCAGCGGCTATAAGGAATGCCATTGCTATGAGTTTTCGTAAGGAAAAAGACTCTATTTTGCTGCTCGCAGTAGTTATTTTTATTTAAATTCATTTCCTTTTCAGTTATTTTCTATTTCAATTCACTTTTGCTTACATAAATACATATATATGTGCCTAAAATTAGATTAAAACCAAAACTAAATCAATTTTTATTCTACTTTTTTTTGTCTTTTTTGAGTAGGCAGATCACCTCCAACTTTGCCATACTTACATATAAGTATACTCATGAACAAAAAAATGGGTGTGCGGCATTTTGATAAATTTTGGTTGTATTTGGATTTTTTTATTTAATGTTTATTAACTTTTTATAAAATTCTAGCGTTTTATACAATAAACAACATAAGTAAAATTCCACACTTCAAAGCTTGTACAAAATCTAGAAAAATTTATAAAACTTTTTTAGCAGAATATTTAGAAAATTTTTTGGTATGCAGTTTTCTAAATCATTAAATTTTAGTGTATTAAGTGTATCTTCAGAGCGGCTGAGAATTCGCATTGATTTTTAATAATTTTTTTTGCTGACGGTTCTACGCATATAGAGTATGCGAAACCATTTTCCTTATATGGTCAGCAGAAAGATTTATTAAAAATCAGCTCGAATCCTCAGCTACTTAAAGATGCACTTAATATACTAGAATTTAATGGTTTAAAAAAACTGCATACCAAAAACTTGTCTAAATATATTACTAAAACAGTTTTTATGAATTCGTAACTTTGAAATGTGGAATTTTACATATGCTCTTTGTTATATAATACGCTAGAATTTTGTAAAATGTTAATAAACATTAAATAAACAAAAGCCAAATACAAACAAAATTTATCAAAATGCCGCACACCCATTTTTTTTTTGTTCATGAGTGTTTAAACATACATATGTACAGTATCGGTCATATCTATAGCACGCCATTTCAAAGTGATATTGTGTGCCACTTATGTTTATTTATTTATTTTTAAGAATTTTCAATTAAAATACGGTTTTTTATCTAACAGAACCCATATAAACCCAAGTTTAAAAACTTATAGAAAACTACAAAAAAGTGCAACAAATTCTATCCTCAACATCAAACTTTTTTCTCGGAAGTGTTTGAATTTTTCTGAATACACAGTTTTTTAGCCCAATTAATTTTAGTCTGATAATGTGCAAGTTTCAAGTGGCTAAAAGTTACCGCTGATTTTTTAGAATTTTTTTCGCCAAGGATGTTGCGGTTTTCTTCCATATACAAATAAATTGAGTTTATTCATTATATGGAAGCCAATGCGACAAAAAAAATTCTAAAAAATTAACGGTAATTCGTAGCTACTTGAAATTTGCACATTATCAGACTAAAATTGCAGGGGCTAAAAAACTGTGTCCTCAAAAAAATTCTATCACTACCGAGAAAAAAGTTTGAAATTTAGGTGAAAATTTGTTACACTTTTTTGTAGTTTTCTACAAATTGTTGAACTTGGGTATATATGGGGTTTGTCCGAGAATGAACAAAATTTTAATTGAAAATTCTTAAAAATAAATAAATCAACATAAGCGGCACACAATATCACTTTGAAATGGCGTGCTATAGATATGACCGATACTGTATACTACTTTAAGTTACATTTTTTCCAAAACGCTTTTCATTAAACTAATAAATTCTTTTGTCGCACTACTTTGCTCTTTAATAGCATTAACGCATTCTGCTGTTAAAACTTTTCCGTCGTCTATGACCACTTTTAACAGCTCGTTTTGCTCTTTAGCTAATTGCACCACCTCACCCATATAATTTCTTTTCCTTTTAGAGGATGTGGAAGCTGCAGTCGAAGTGTCAAGTGGCGAAGAACTGGACAACTCCACCGGCGACGAAAGCGGTGACGAAGTTTGAGGCGATGGTGACGGTGAAGGTACAGCGGTTGGTGGCGATGGATGTGCTGCGGTTGATGACGGTGCAGCAGCAGCGTATGGATACGACTGAGGCACTGGGGATGGGGACGCTAAACTTGATGGTGATGGCACCGGCTGCGGTCCTGATGTCAATATATCCTAAATTTAAGAAGTTTTATGTATTTTTAAAGTTTTACAAAAATATATGTACATATATATTTATGTGTGAAACTGAAATTTTACCATTGAAAAAGATTCTAAAATCTCAGCGTTGTTTGCAGCGTTGAAACCGATGATTTGGTGGACTGCGTCAAAATGTTTCCACAGCGAGGGACTCCCACCAGATGGTCCTACCTTTTTCTTTTCTTCTCTGAAATTTTACGTACATTTGCAATTAGTGTTCAGAATGGTTAAATGGAAAATGACTTACCTATATCTTTGGGTCATGTTTCTTATTTTTATGTGGACCTCCTTTGCACTAAACTTTGACGCCATCTGTGTCGATATATCCGCATATATATGCAGATTGCGCTTCGCCCGTCGCAAGTCATCCGCACGTTCCGCCCATAAATCCAATAGCACTTTCTCGTCGCTGGTGCTCCAAGTACTGCGTTTTTTGTCGCTGGCCATCTGAAATTAGATATAATTCATTTTTTTAATATATTTCATTTGTTTTTAATAAATTTTTTAAAATAACTTACTTCTGATATGCTTGTTTTCGGATTCTCTTTTAATTATTTCCGTGCTGTCAACCACAGTCACCATTCACAATAGAAAATATATGCCAATTTTGGACAGCGTTGCCAAATGCAAATTAGAAAATCCAGTATAAATGCTCATTTATTTCGTGCATTTCCATCGAGCCAATGCGCATTTGTGAGAGGATTATTCACGAGTTAAAGCAAATAAATGCTGCTAATGCAAATAATCCCATCAATCTGTCTACCGTATAAGACGGTTTGCTCTTACAGTTCCAGTTGCTCTGAAATGTTTTTCATTCAATAAACAAAACAAATAATACGACGAAAAAAAATTATCAAAATAAATTGCATAATTATCTGGATTTAGAACATTTTCCAACAATGATAGTACGACAGCAGCTCCTAAACCTACATTTCTATCATACGGTACAGTGGATCCTCCATATGGTGCTACTGCATATAAATAACCACTGTGCGAACAAAGAGCCCAGTACTTAAAACCAAATCGAATTGGTTTGTTACGAATAAACATCTTGCATGAATGTCGACCAAAATACGGTATCATTTGTTCATCTATGGACAAAAATGTTTCAAAAACGCCAAATTGCATACATTTACGGTTCAACGCATCGATAAGAGGACGAACTTTAGCAAATCTGTCTGTGGAATCAATTTCATTATTATCCATTAAATGGAAGATCCTTTTGATCAATTGGAAGTTATAACGTGATAATGCTTGCTTAACTACAGGTATACCAAGTGTTTGCTGTGTACTCCAATAATGTTCAACGTGAGGTACTTTGTGATAGCCACTTAGTATCAAAATTCCGATGAAACGATAGATCTGCTGTTTAGTAATATCTGTCACGATATTATTCTGATGAGCATATATATTTGTATTCACGACGAGCATTTCCATTATTTCTTCATCGAAAAACTGTAGAAACAGTTCAAACGGTGTTTTTCCACCTGAAAGAAAAATCAAGTAAGCCAAAAAAATTATCATGAACTTTACTCAGATTTACTCATAGATTCAACGATTTTTTTTTTGCAGTGGTTGAACAGCTGCTTCATCAGGCGGACCGAATTCAAAATCAACACGTTTGGTTGTTTTCCATTTAGGTATACCAAAATCCTTTTCTGCAGTATGCTTTGTAGTTTTTTTAGAAAGAGATGGTCCAGCGTCAGGTGTTTCAGATGAACATGGTGGCGGAGATGCAAAATCTACGACACCTGATTCATGCTCGACTTCTAATTCTCCACATACATCGGTCATAGCTGGTACTTCTGTTATCAACTCATTATCATCAATTAGTTCTTCGTCACTGACTGCATCAACATCTGCTGGTGGAATGTGCACAACACGAGCAATTTTATTCGAAGGACCTTGATCAACTTTCCTTCGTTTAGCAGAACTTGGTACTTCTTCGTCTTCAACCTCACTGCCTGATGTATCGATGTAGGATTCA